GGAACAGACTATGTTGCTAACAGGCCCAAGGACATATTGACTTTTAGCCAAGAAACTGGCTACTTTTCTTTGGGGGTATTTTTACCCTAATTGCCTAGCCAATTCCTACCTCCTATTCTTTTTTTTTTTTTTTTTTTTTTCCTTTTTTTTTATTTTTCCTTTTTTTTTTTTTTTTTTTTTTTTTTTTTTTTTTTTTTTTCTTTCTTTTTTTTTTTTTTATTGAGAAGGCCTGTATTTTAATATGCAGACGAGGCTGGTCTTGATCTCATGGAGATGGGGATTAAAGCCGTCCCTGTTCATGCTTGGCTCTTCTTACATTGTTTTTTTTTTTTTAAACAATATTTACACTATTTAAAAAATTGTATTTATTGTTATTTTTTACTTTTTTGTTTATGAGTGTTTGCCTACATGTATGTATGTATGTATGTATACCTGTGTCGTGCAATGCCCACAAAGGTCAGAAAGGGCATTGAATTGAATCCCCAGGAACTGGAACTGCTTGGCACTCCTTTAATGAATGAGCACAACTGTCAACAAGCCCAGTTGTGACTGTTTAGCAATCAGGCTCTCTTCAGATCATGTAAATCTTTCTCCTTTTAACCCTTATACTTTCATGTCACATGTATGGTTATCTAATTTGATTTTTCTTTATTTATGAGACAGGGTTTCATTATGTATCTTAAATTCACTATATATACTGTAGCCCAGGAAGGCCTCAAATTCACAATCCTAATGCTTCAGATATTAGCATTATATGCATGTACCACCGTAACCGAGTATATTTTTCTTTTCTTAAAATTTTTAAATTAGCATACAAAGTACTAGGTTTTGAATATAATTTGCTTTTGTTGATTCCCCCTTATACTTTCCCACCCTCAGTAGCTTCTTTTCTTTCATGTTACATGTCTTCTCTTACCCCTCAACACCTTTTTCCCCTCTCTTGGTCCCTTTCTAGTAGATAATCTGTGCTGCCCATACACACACACACACACACACACACACACACACACACACACACACACACACACACACACGCGCGACCCACATATAAGACAAAAAACCACATATAAGACAGAAAATATAAGACTAAATGTGGTTTTAGTCTTTCTATATCTGAATTCCTTGCTTTATATGTTTTACAGATTCATTTTCCTGAATACAATATAATTTCTTTTTTGTTTACAACTGAGTAAAAATTCCATCATGTATGTCCACCACATCTTCATTATCTGTTTTTTGATGGTCACCTGGACTGGTTCCATTTTCTTGCTATTATGAATAAGGAGCAACAAATACAGATGTGCAAGTATCTCTTTGGTAGGATATAGAGTCCTTTCGGTACCCAGGAGTTGTATATAGCTAGGTCATGTATTCTATTTTTAATTTTTGAGAGGCCTCAGTAGCGATGTCTGTAATGACTATTTCAGTTTACATTCCCACCAGGAGTGAAGGAGGCTTTCTCTTTCTCCATATCCTAAACCAGCATTTTCTGTCTTGATGATAGCTGATCTGACTGAGATGAGCAAAGTTTTGATTTTCAGTTCCCTGATGGCTAATGATGTTGGACACTTTCTAAGATTTAACTGCTTGTGTCTCTTTTGAGAACTGTCTTTATTTTGTTAATGTTTATTGATTTTCAGGTTTTTTTCTTTTACTAAGGTTTTATAGTTCTTTCTATATTATATTATCCCATCTGAAGCAGAGTTAGCAAAAGTTTTCTCCCATTCTGTAAGCTGTTTGCTCTGTTGATAGTTTACTTTGCTGTATAGAAGCTTTTTAATTCCATATAATGTCAGTTCTTCTTGCTATTTGCTGTGATGTTGGAATCCTGTTAAGAAAGTTCTTGGCTATGCCTGTATCTTAAAATGTTTTCCCTGTGATTTTCCTCTAGCAGTGTCAGAGTTTCAGGATTTAAATTAAATAGAAATCTAATTTCATTCCTGTACAAGTGAATATCCAGTTTTGCTTGCATTACTCTTTGAATGGGCTTTTAGTATGTGATTGGGACAAAGCTTTTTCAAATATTAGCTGCTCATAGCTGTGTGGGTTTGTTTCTAGGTCATCTATTATCTACATCTGTCCTGTTGGTCTATATGTATGTGTTTGTACCAGTATCATGCTGCCTTTGTCCCTCTTGTTTTGCAGTAGAGTTTGAGGTCAAGTATTGTAACACTTGGAGTAGTATTCTTTTTACTTAAAATTGGTTTTGACTGTTCATAGTCTTTTGTGTTTCCATACTTTTGGATTATTTTTTCGAGATACGTGAAGAAAGACATTGGGATCTTGTTTGGGATTGCATTAAGTCTGTGGATTACTTTTGGTAACAGAGCTATTTTCATGATATTGTCTGCCAGTCTAGGAGCATGGAAGTTCTTTCCATGGTCTGCTATGTTTAGTTTCTTTTTTCAATGTCTAAATTTTTCACTGAAAAAGGCTTTTTTACCTCCTAAGGTGTTTTATAGAGTAGATATGTCCCAAAGTTAAGTGTTTTGGCGGGGGATCTTGTTGTGAATAAAAATATTTCCCCAATTTCTTTCTCCACAAGTTAATTATTTGTATATAAGAAAGCTACTGATTTTTCTATGATAATTTTATATCGTGCAACTTTCCTAAACATATTCAAGGTCTGAGATTTGATTGGTGTCTGTAAGATCTTTTAAGTATAGAATCAATCATGTCATCTGCAAAGAAAGATAATTTGACTTCTTCCTCGTACATATCTTTCTCTTTTCTTACTGGTCTAGCTAAGACTTTGAGCACTATAGTAGATGAAAATGGAGTTGTCTCATTCTAAATTTTAGAGGAACTACTCTTGTTTTTCTCCATTTTAGTAAAATAATGGCTATAGATTTGTCGGGTATGGCATTTATTTTGAGTTAAAATAATTTTTGATAGGTGAGTTAATAGTGATAATGTCAACACTTGTGTTTTAAGGATATAGCCCTAGGAATAACTAAAACTATTTAAAATTTGTTTTGCTCAATTTTGATTGTCATTAAGGTAAAGGGTAGTTTCTCAAAGCACATTCCTAGCATGCAGATGAGTTTCCATGATCCTTTTAGTTCAACCACTTCTTGAACGAATTGAACAGAAATGATTTAGATTAGCAGTCATATAGCCTTATATTAAAAACTAAGGAAATAAAATTATTGTAACTTACTGACATAAGTAATTGTATCTGTCATTTTTCTTAATTAACAAGAAAAAAGTCTATGTAGGTTTGCACCACTAAGAAGATACAGCTTTTGAGTTATAAAAAGCTGGGCAAAAAAAGAAGAAAGTTGGGCCCACAGCAGTCTCAAATCTTATAGCCATATCATGTGAGCCAAATGGGACAGGTGAGGTCTTCCTCATTTCTACACACAAGAAGCATAAAATATTTGAACATAAGAAAGATGGCCCCTCTCAAGCTCTTTCTGACTGAAATGATGGGTCAGAGAGAATACTAGCGTAACCTAAGCAAAAATGTTGATGTGTTCTCAGGAGGTCGTCACAGAAAGTCCTCACAATAGCCTACATTCAGTCATGTTTTCAACTGAAAACATAAAAATCACTGTCAACTCTTTAAATGTTATTTAAAAGTAATTGTGCTATGAATTTTTTCAAGCTAGTAATGAATTTTTAATTTTTAAATTATTTTTATTTATGTGTATGAGTGTATTGCCTGCATTTATATAAGTACACCCATACTTATGTAAGTATGACAGTGCAGTGCCCACAGAAGTCAGAAGAGGGTGTTGAATCCCCTGGAACTGGAGTTTCAGATGGTTGTTAGCCACTATGTAGGTGCTGGGAACTGAACCCAGGACCTCTGCAAGAGTACTCAGTGCTCTTAACCCCTGAGCCATCTCTCCAACCCTCTGTTTTAAATTTTAAGGCAAAAAAGCTATTACATATTTTAATTAAATGTTTAGTTAAGTATATATTTCCATATGTATCAGCATATATATATGACAAGAAAAAGAATTTTTAATATTTCAAAGCCACAGGAATCAATGTAGTTCGATTTTTTTTTTTTTTTAAGGCTTAGAATTCTGTAACTAGATTTGGGGGAGTAAGGAGTTCTGTCTCTTTACTCACCACGTTCTTTTTTTAAAAAAAAATTATTATGTGGATGAATGTATATTTTCTTCATGTACATAGGTGCACCCGTGTTGTGAAATACCTACAGATGTCAGAAGAAGGTATCGGATCCCCTGGAACTAGAGTTACAGACAGTTTATAGCCACCATGTGGGTGCTGGGAATCAAACCCAGGTCCTCTGCAAGAGCAGCTGGTGCTTTTAACCGTTGAACTATCTCTCCATCCCCCACTCCCCTTGTTCTTTAAAGAGCAAGAACAAAAATTAATAAGATTTGAACAGAGTATTTACCAAAGTTTTGTATAATTCTAAAAAGTTTTGTTAGTAAGTTTAATATGTTCATTATATTGGGAATTTCTTCCCTCATAGTAGTCACAATGATTACAGTTTTCTCCCTTTGAACTGATTAATGAATACTTAGAACTAGTAAGGAAGGACAGAAATTGATACATGGTTATAAAATTTCATTTATTACAAGGTTAAGTAATGGCAGGGAGTATGATCTAATCTTTAATGATTAGATCTTTTATAAGAAGCATGGTTGTTTTGGCACCATAATGAAAGCATTCATTATATCTAGCACGTGGTTCTAGTATGTATAGAATTGTTGTTTGATAATATAATATGAGCTGATTTCAGTGCATAGAGAAAAGGGGGATTGTGGTTTCTTATGAACCCTAATTATAGCATTCATTTCCTTTGCAGCTGCAAAATGAACTTCATTTTTATCAAAGTTCATGAGAATCTCAGGATTTGATATTGGGTAACCACTTACAAGACACATTTTTTTAGGACTAGGTATCAATATAATTTTCTTCATCTTTAGTCCTATAATTTGCTTGATTTTAGTAAAGTTAAATTTTTCTTTATGCTGTGATTATTTGAGGTCTAGTATTTCCTGAGATTAGAAATACTTGTTATATTTTAAGGTTATTAGTATTTTTTTGTGTGTCATCCTTGCACGGGGACATGCTAATCTTCTGTGTATCATTCCAATTTTAGTATATGTGCTGCTGAAGCGAGCATGGTTATTAGTATTTTTTTTTTTTTTCGGTCTTTTTGAGACAGGGTCTCCCTGTAGCCCCAGCTGGACCAGAACTCACTATGTAGACCAGGCTGGCCTTGAACTCACAGAGATCCATCTGCCTCTGCCTCCCAAGAGCTGGGATTAAAGCTGCTCCACCATGCCCAATTATTAGTATTTTTAAATGAATCAGTTTATTTGTGTAAGTTTATTTTAATATTAAAGGGGCTGTAGTATTTAATATTAAAGGGACTATTATAGGCACATACCTGTATTCTCACTACTCTGTGGGCTGCCAGGAGAACCTCAAATTTAAGGACAGCCTGGGCACCTTAGCAAGACCTTGTCCCTAAAAACATGTTTTAAAGTTTGGAGGTGTGGTTCAGTAGTATAGTACTTGTCTAGCCTGTATAATGTCTAATGGGTCTAATCTCCAATACTGTAAAAATAAACAATAAGGTAAGCAAAATAGATTATAATAATTCTATACTTGGCTTTAAATAGGAAATTTTCTAAATTATATTTGATAACAATTTTTAAGCTCAATTATCAGAATTTTGAAGTTATATTCTTCCTTAGCTCCGTTTACATACAAATCTCTTCACTGTAGTACGAGGAGAAATGAGAGTCCCTGAAGAAGCTCTTAAGGTAAATCTATCCTGTTGCTAGTCTGCTGTTCACTAGTACTGGTTTCTTTCATGGAAGCTTCACTTTGACTTTTAAATGTTTTGTAGCATGAGAAGTTTACCATTCAGCTTCAGTTGTCCCAAAAGTCTTCAGAATCAGAATTACCAAAATCGGCAAGTGCCAAAAGCATAGATTCCAAGGAAGTAGATGCCGCTGCAGAAGTGCAGCACAGACCTACAGAAGCCCTGAAATCTGAGGAGAAAGCCATGGGTAAGTGCTCTGTATGGTCAGGAGTATGAGCTACAACAGCCATATTTGGGTTTTGAATGAGTGAATGTATTAAGAGGAGAGGAGGGAGTACCCAGCATCAAATTGGGTACTCAAATCATTTAGCAGAAACTAAAAAAGGACGACCCTTTAAGGCAGCCAGCTGGAGTTGCCCAACTGAGAGAGACCTGGGCAAAGCACAGTGCCCCTCAGGTAAGGGTAGAGCTTCTAAAAAGAACAAATAACAGAAAGGTATTGTCAGATGTCAGCAGAAACTATGGATGTTAAGACAGTCACCTGGAGTTCTTGGTTGAGCTTTCTCGCCATGGCTGACCTTTTCCATGGCTAAGCTTCCACCTTCTCTTTCCCACAGCAGACGCTTTCTTAGTAGGAATAAGCAATAGAAATAGCTGCTGGAAATAGTTGAGTTTCTAGCTGAGCTCAAGGGCACAATCTTTTTACTCTTAGAGTATTTTACTTTTCCCGCTCCACCACAGAGTAGGGGGACCAGCCCATCCTTAGATCTTGCAGGACACTTTGAGATAAACATGCTTGGATCTAAAATGGGGAGAAAAGAGACAAACCTACTTCCAGAGCTAGCTTTTCAGTGACCTCAAGCAACATATGACAAGTTGTTGATATAATATATATCATAGTAAGCTAACTCCTTTGGAAAAACATGTTCATAGCCATATAAACATAATATATACTAACGATTGATTCCAGGGTGTATTTTAATGTAGCTGGTGTTTTCACTAGAAAACTTTCTGAAATTCATAATACTTGGTAGTTGCATATAGTTATACTTAATATCTTTAAATATTTAAGAGGAATAGTTCAGTATTTAAAGGAAATAACAGGTTACAAACATAGTTTATTTTTATCACATTTGTCTATATATTTTTTGAATTATAATTAGAATAAAGGGAAAATTCTAGATCTAGCAATAGAGTATCATCTTACTATCCTCTAGAACTATAAAGATGCTTTACATTCATAATCCTTTTCTAATAACCAGTTTCTTAAATTTGTAAACAATACCACATCTACTCTAAAAATTTGATAGCAATGAGCTTAAATTCAGCTACTATACAATACCCCTGTGCTGTTCTAAAAGATTGGAAAACGTCCACTCATGTCAAAGTTTAGTTTCACTTTTTTTTTTTCAATAAAACGTTTTTTTTTAATAAAATAATTTTTTTTTCAATTAGAAGAAGCATTTCATTACAACAGCATTAACCTATTCAATAACATTTTTCTGAGCTAGGGTACATCTCTTTCAAAATTGGCTGTACATTTCTAGGTTTACAGATGAATTATTACCCTTATATAATCTTTTACTCATTATAAACTCTATAAGACATAAAATTAAATGAGGTTCCAACGTTTAAAAAAGATCTCCACTTCGTTGTCAAAACACACAGTTTCATACAGAAAAATTCATTCCAAGGCAATTGACATTGAGACATTTTCACATACATTTCTAATCTCTATATACATGACTATCACTGGTCACAGTCGCCCACCTTCTGAGCTCCTCGGCATCTGAGCATGAATACAAACTCGTCAG